GGAAATCCGACAATTTGTCAGTAGGCAGGTATTTCCAATTCCCCGTTTTCTCTCAGCGGCAGAGGACGCCAACATTTACCTACAGGACAAGGTGAGGAGGTTCTTGCCTGGGTTCAGGGGGAACTGTGTCTTTTCGTGACAGGACTTCCATCTTCTCCTCAGTTATGAACAAACATCGTCCTGTCACAGTAAAACTCCCTCCCCCAGCAAAGCACTGTGCTTTATTACAACCCAAACAGTCTGAGGAACATAATCTACTAGATTAAACATGGCCATCACCCCTGCTGATTAGGTCCCTGGTTTTAGATGCACGTCCTTTGTCCACACCTTCAGTCAGTCATCACTCCCACCTCGTTTTAATCCTGAGGGAAATGCAAACATCCAGCAGCAACTACAGACATAGCATGACACAGGAACCAGCACAGAACCCTTCTAAAGCTACCTTACAGCCCTTCTGAACGTCCCCTGGATGTCTGTTACACCTGATCATAGCTGAACTAATGGAACAATTCTGGACCGGCCATGGATCAGTTTTTAACTCTGACAACGTAACAGAAGTCCAGTAAATGTAAGATAAGTGAAGATGAAAAAAGGTTGTAAGCTCAATCATCAAGGTAGTTAATAACAAAAAAGGTTAAATCCTGTCATCTGGACCAGTTTTTTAAGTGAAAAATGTTTCGTCCCCCATCCAGAGGATCTCCTCAGTCTGCGACCTGCCAACCAAATCTGTCCCACGGGTAGCCTTCACTGCTGTGTTTCAAGACCAACCTCCTGTTGGAATCTCAAAAGTGGACTTTTAACGTGCAAACAGAGCACGCCCATCCAAAACAATCGATTGTCGTGTACAATCAAATGTTTTAGACCAGATGACCAACTTGCTACTCACAGAAACATCCTGAGAACAACCTTTGTTGTTGTTATCTACCTGGATGATTGAGCTACAACCGTTTTTCTGAACCCCTTTGGCCTTGGTTGTCCTCAGGCTGTTTCTGTGAGTAGCAAGTTAGCCATCTGACTAGAGTTGCACTCGGGTCCAAAAAATCTGAGTCGACCCGGCCCCAGCCCGTAGCCATAATTTTTGAACCCCACAGCTCTACTTCTGGCCTAAAATATTTGATTGTTGTTTATTAATTGTTTTGGATGGGTGTGCTCTGTTTGCACGTGTTAAAAGTTTACTTCTGAGATTCCAACAGGAGGTTGTCTTGAAACACAGCAGTGAAGGCTACCTATGGGACAGATCTGGTTGGCAGGTCGCAGACTGAGGAAGTCCCCTGGATGGGGGACGAAACGTTTCTCACTTAAAGAACTGCTCCAGATGACACGATAAGTGACAATGGTTTCTCTCGCACGATTCCGCTGTTTGCTTTAACGTTTACGGCACAAAACTGACAATTAAACTGCGTCTAGTCGTTTTAAGGAATGACTCGAAGGTTTGAAAACACTTCAGTGAGTTGAAGCTTTTTAAAAGTCAGTCCCATCAGAGCTCAACTTTTTAATTAATAGTCCAGTGGTTTTGAGTCAAACTTGATCTTTTTTTGCTTCTGTTCCACTTCTTAAACATGCAATTAGGATTAAAGTTGTAATTATAAATGTTTAATTGATTCTCACCAGAACACACGTGACCTGTAAGAGGGTATTGATCTCAAACCAGCAGCGTCTTTGGTTGTTTGCATTGTTTGAATGGAAACCTGGATATTCAACGCTCGTCTGGTCCCAGTTTTATCTCTGCTGGATCACATTTTCCTGTGAACACAGGTTGGTAACTCGAGTCGTGGACAGGGGAACATTAGACCAACCGGGGTTTGTCTTCAGTGTCAAAGTCTGGTAATCCCAGGTGATTGTAAACAGCCCAACTCAAGACTGTGCTCTCATTGGCCCAACCTGCTGTTCGTCATTGATGTCACGTTGAGCTGGTGTCAGGGGGGACCTGTCAGAAGGTGCAAGAGTTGGTTTTACTTGGCGAGGTAGATCCAGGACTTGATTTGCCCTCCTGTGGTGGATATTTCCAGAACTTTTGGACCTGTTGAGGACCTCTGTTTTGCTCACGTTTGCTTCGGTCATGCCGTCTCTTCGTGCCGTCCTGAGGAGATACAGGCAGGTTCCTCGAACTGAGGCCGACGGAGCGTTCAACTACAGTCGAGCCTCAAACGGACGAGGCCTGCTGAACTCCGGTGGGTTCAACTCTTCTTTGGTAAACCTTCTGGTAAAACAGACTAATACATGATTAAAATGCTCCAATGTTAAATGTTTCAATCGACCCCTAAATGAATAAAACACAATTTACAACCATTTCATATTTGCATGTTGGTACGATGTTCTTCTTGATGGTAGGAAATTAAAGCTCTAGATTATTTCCTTCAAACTTTAATAAACGGCTTTAAAACTGGCGTAACATATTTGGTCATGTAGTCTTTAAACGACGGTTAACTGTTGAACGTTTTGGTTCAATGGACTTTTTAAACGATTTTACAAATCCCAGGTTATTTGTCCAATAAGGCAGTTCACTTAACTACCATTCTGACATCAATATTGAGATTAAAACCAATCTATTTAATCCTTAACCAGGAAATCAGATTATTATTCACAGCTGGTGTTACTTGGTCGTTCACGTTCTTCACTTTGAGAAATAATAAAGATCAATAACCACTGATTGAACCCTCTTTCTCCTTGTTTACGGCAGAGCAGCATGAATAAAAATGTAATTGTTGAGACGGTGGCATTAAGCAGTTTATATATTTTTAAAGTTTACACATTATTTTTTTATCGAGTATAAAAAACTGTTAAGCTGTTGACGCCTTTGGGTGCAGATTGCCTGAGCGGTGATCTGTGGCAGCAGGTGGTGATGTAAGTGCTTACATTTGTATTAATGTCGGCCTGCCTTTGTGTTGGGTTGCAACAGGATGATGCATTTGATCTTCTGTAATTGCCTTTTTTTTCTCAGCCAGCCGAGTTTGTTGTCTTTGAGTGTAATTTATCAGTCTATGCGTCCACCGCAATCTCTTGATCTCAGGCTGGCTGTGATTATGCCGCCTTCTCCGCAGATGCGTTACTGGACACTTAAATTGATGCATCGCCTCTATTACAGTGTTGATGCCATGATGCTTTCAGCCAGAATGAATTTTAATGTCATTTGAGTCTGCTGTCATTCATTTTGCACCACTGGTGCCTCTATACAAGCAAACAAGTTCCTATGAATTTAATCTCCTGCAGGAGAAACGTTGAGGTTTGAACTGTAGTGAAAATACACAACTTGGGCAGTAGTTTAATCCAAACAACCAGCTTACCAATCCACTCCCCCAACCAATTAACCAAATCATCAAGCCTACTCACTAACCCATCCAACAACCAACTAGTCCACATACACACCCAATCAATCAACACATCCACTTAATACTGCGCCAACCAACTGTGACCTGTCCACCAAGTGCCTTAATAACCAATCTACCCATCCACCCAACACTAGATCAACCAACCCATCAATACGCGTCATATCAAACTACTAATACCTCCATATCAACCAGCCTGGCACCCTACCAACCAGCCCAATATCCTACCAACCAGCCCTGCGCCATACCAGCCTACCCAATGACCTATCAACCAGCCTGG